CCCTCGAACCTAGCGATTACCTTAATCAAGCCACAAACGTCTGCTGCTACCATATGAAAACAAATTATGAGTGAAGTGACCCTCACCCTATTGACACCTTCCCAACAACTAGATCAAGAACCCCAATCAGTTGCACCTACCAAGACTTCAAAGAGAGCGTTGTTCCTTGATCAAGCAGACAAATCTGACAAGTTAAGTTATCCTCTCAATTATCATCTCATGTGTAAATCTTAATGAATATGCTTGCTTATCTTAGGTATACATATGTGGTTTGTCGCTTATCAAAAATTGTTAGCCAATCTTTTCGCACCACTCTTTCACACTCTTTTCCATGCCTATCACGTTTATCTCTGACCTTATAAATTATACCTTTATTCATAGCAAAAAACCTCGCAACGAGCAAACAGAGACAACCAATTGTGCTAGAATTGCTAGAGAATTCCACAATTTGGTTGTCCCTAAGATTGAGCCCGCAGACAAAGAGTCGATAGGCGCACTTAGAACAAAGTTTCAAGCCAAAAAAATCAAAGATAGGTATATTACAATTTGTTTTTCGCACGCACACCTACTTAACATATGTCGTACCAGTGTTTTCTAAACTATGATTTATGTTTTTTGCTATAGTCTTGAAGATGTTCGCCCATGGAAAAAATGAATGCCCGCAGTCTCTGTTATCAGCTGCTACAAAGCCGCTCTCCATGTTTTTTGCCTTTGAACATGTGTGCTTGAAAACTTACTTGCTGAAACGACAACAAAACAGTTTTTATGTTTTTTGTTAACTGCTAAAACAGGTGTCTGGCCTGCAGGACATATTTTGCCACCTTAACTACATAAGCAAAATATGTATGGACTGCATCTTCCTTCTGTTTCTTCTGTGACTTATGGAAACAGGCATCCTGCATCTTTTTTGCTTTGAACATATGCTTGAAACATTAGCTGCTGACACAAGAATAACCCACATTTTTTGCTTTTTTGTTTAGCTGTTAAAACACGTGTCTGGCCTGCAGGACATATATTTTGCCATCTTAACTTGAAAGGCAATACAAGTGTTAAATGCATGTTGCTTCTGTTTCTCAGGGAAATAAAGCATTTTTCGTAACTGTATCTTTTGTAATCAGCTCGGTTATATAAAAGTCAAACTGCTTATCTTACCGACACCGTTCACTCATCTATCCCTCTTGTTCGTTCATGATTATGTTGATTTTTTTTTAGGTTAAATGTGTCTTATTTATGTGGTTAAGGCGGATGCATTCAAGTCCCGCAACAACGTACAAGCATTTTTACTAGTTAGTCGTTACCGTCTATAACAATTGGCCATTTTCTGGGTTCGAAAACTTTAACTCCAAGCATTATATTCCTGTAGAGTGGATTGAAAAAGAGATTGTTATATTAGAAATCACTTAAGTCGATTCGTAAAATAAATTGATGTATTTCTTACGGACAATGGAAAGGAAAATAATTTACGATCATTCTTTTAGTTTTTATTTTTTTTCAACTTTTATAATGAACAAAACTAAAAAAATTAAGGACTAGAAGGATAAAGAGAGATGTGAATAAGGTGACGTAGTCTACTTTAGTTAACATACTAGCCAAAAGCATGTGCTCCGTTGCGGGTTTTGAAACTATAACCATAATTTAACACATCCATTTCTAAATAATTTAAAAAACAATCAAAGCAGATGAATCCACATGGTAAAATAAATCTTTCAATTTGCATTTATATTCTATTGGCTTTACATTACGAGCCTATGTACAACCAAAAGAGCAAATTTCTAAGTATCAGCTATATACAATTAACATGATGAGTTTTCATATGGATTTGAAAGTCATGATTATTTAATTGAGTCCTAAAATGCACCTACACGGAGACTCAAAATTGAATCTTGATTCCTTGTGGCCAGTGGCGGAGCCAGGAATCTTTCCATAAGGGGTTTTAGTGTAAAAGTCCAAATAAAAATTTAGGATGGAAAAACATATTAGTACTTTCATTCATAATTCATAATGGAAACAATATTACAAGCTATAATTGTCCACGACGAGGTTTCATATTTTGAAAACGAAGCATTATAGCTTCATTTTCAATACAAGCAAAAATATCTCTCTCAATATAAACAAGCAAGATATCACTCAACCATTGATCTCCCATTTTGTTCCTAAGTGGACCCTTAACAATATTCATGACAGAAAATGCTCTCTCCACTGAAGCAGTTGCAACTGGTAAAACTAAAGACAATGTAATGAACAAATATACATAATTGAATACTTGATGCATCCTTGTCTCCACCATTTTTTTTTTGCAAGATCACCAATCCCTTCCAATTGAGAGAAATCACTACTGGAACGCACATAATGAATATAAATCTCAAGTTGATCTTCAAGTGCCAAACGATCCTCATCCGAAAAGTCTTGAGGATAAAATTGAGCAAGACAAAGTAACTTTGGCTTATCAAAAGCTACAAATGAATCTTTCAGACTCAAACATGCCAAACAAATAAGCAAATCAGTATTTACCTCATTAAAGTGATCCTCTAACTCCGTAATTTGCTCATCAATGACATAAATAAAGAGCTCCACACGATAATGATGACAATTTGTCCTTATTGGAGCATTACGCCTTGACCTCCTTGGAAGTATAAATGCCTCATCCATGTTAGGAACATCAATATGATGTTTTTCACAAAAAGAAGATACTTCATCAACCAATGCATCGAACCCATTATTCCTCATCCAATGTAGTTTTTCCCTGCATGATTTCACTAAAGCCATTGCATTCACAATTTCTTGATCTTTCCTTTGCAATGCTTGTGACAAATCATTTGTGAGTCCCAATATGACTTTCATCAAGAAAAGGTGAAACACAAACTCAAAAATACGTATTTCTCTCATTAACTTATTTGCATCACCCGCACTTTCATTGGGATTATCATCAATAACCATTTGAAGCACATGAACCACAGATGTAAACATGGAAATGATGCTAATCAAGGTACCATAATGTGAGTTCCATCGTGTGTCACCGGCACGTTTGAGACTTGTTTCTTGATTTAAGCCTCGCCCCGTTATAAGACAATCATTTTCAAAAGCTATCACAAGCTCTTCTTGAAGTTGTTATCTAAGTAAATCACGCCGCTTACAAGATGCTCCAACATGATTAACCACATTATTAGCCGTTGCAAAAAAATAGGCAATGTCTATATTCTTCTTTGCTACGGCAACAAGAGCTAGTTGAAGTTGATGAGCAAAGCAATGAACATAATATGCACAAGGTTGTTCTCTCAATATCTTTGTTTTAAGGCCATTCAACTCACCTCTCATATTGCTAGCACCATCATAACCTTGTCCTCGTAGCTTAGAAATGCTCAAACCGTTGCGAGAAAAGAATGTGTCAATAGCATCCTTTAGTGAACTTGAAGTAGTGTCGGTAACATATTGGATACCCACAAATCTTTCAATTACATGCACATTGTCATCCACATAACGCAACACCATAGCCATTTGCTCTTTCACCGACACATCACGTGCTTTATCCACCAATATTGAAAAGAATCTATCTTTTAGACCATCCATGATAGCATCAAGTGTTTCAAGGGCACATGAATTCAGAATTTCTTTTTGAATGGAATGAGCTAGTAATTTGAGATTTCTCGGAGCATTTTCCATCACAACTTCTCTAACTTTATCATCATTATCTGCAAGGAATTGCAATAGCTCCAAGTAATTTCCCCTATTGCTTGAAGTGGCACTTTCATCATGGCCACGAAAAGCAAGACCTTGTCGCAATAAAAACTTAGTGCACTTGATTGATGCATTCAAGCATGTGCGATAAACCTTACGAGCTTGGTCAGAGTGTTTGCTCACTGCCGTTTCAATATGTGTAGCTTGATTCATCAAATTTGTAGCAGCTTCTCTAGCCTTATTATGAACACTCCCAACCGGTCCAACATGCATCTTAAATCTTTCTCTCCCTTCTTCCAAGTTTTAAATCCATCTCTAGTGAAAGCTTCACTACCCACCTATTCAAAATTGGTTTTAAAGAGATAGCAATAGAGACAAAATGCCGCATCTTTAGATATACTATACTCCAACCAATCAAACTCATCAAACCATTGGGGAATGAAGCGTCAATTAATTCCCGACATATTAGTTATTGGGAAATTATGACCTCTAGGTTGACAAGGTCCTTTTTGTAGATATGATCTTCGGACCTCATCTCTCATATTAGCATCATAATCTATCATTTGAATTCTTACCAAGATCCGCTCGAAGATTACCCAAAACACCATCTAACTGATTTTGTCTTGAACTTGGAGTTCTTGAACTACCAACAGTATTTGAACTATCAACATTATTCGAACTACTCGAACCCGATGATGACAACCGTTCCATAATAATTCTACATATACAAAATATTCAAAATAAATACTCACAATATAAACAAACCATCAACATAATAAAATAAATATGAATTGGATTTCAATTAAATTAAATATATTCTACATATACAAAATAATGAAAATAAAAACTCACAATATAAACAAACCACCAATATAATCAAAATAAATATGAATTAGGTTTCAATTAAATTAAATATATTATACATTATACATAGGGTTTAGAACTTACTTGAATTGTGAAATTTCACAATAACAATGTCAATGAGCAATACAAAGAGAGTAGCTGGCGCGGCACCACTACCACATCGATGACGACGACAGCACAAAGGCACCTTAATGGCGGCAGCAAGGGAGGAGATGGAGTTAAGGGTTGGGGGGGGGGGTTGAGTTTGGAACTTAGGGTTGGGGGAGGAGAAAACAAAAGAAAATTAGGGGTTTTGGAATGGGGGAGTCGGATTTGTGAAAGAAGAAGGAGAGCTGCTTTTTTTTTCTTTTCAGACCTGGCCCAAAACGACGTCGTTTTGGCCAGGTCATTTAAAAAAAATTGCTTGAGCCAAAACGACGTCGTTTTGGCCAGGTCATTTAAAAATAATTCCTTGGGCCAAAACGACGTCGTTTTGCCCAGGTTGTTTTAAAAAAAAAGGCCCGCGCGTGGCGCCTCCTTCTTCTTCAACCTGCAAGGCTGCCTTCTTCTTTCAGACATTCTGTCGAACATGTGGTGTGCAGCTCCGAGAGGTCGCACCAGCAGCTCCAAGGGACCTCTAAGGTTATTTCCATGGCTTCCAAGAGGTCGTGCGACCCCATTGACCCCACCGTGGCTCCACCTCTGCTTGTGGCATAAGTAGAAAATGAGGTGGTGCAACACAATCTCTCAGTGATAAGGTAACTCTTATCAAAGCTCAACTCAAAATTTACCATAGGGCAATGATTTATGCATATTTGAGACAAAATTAAACCTGATTTAGAGGATTGTCTGAACCACATGTCACTTGCTCTGCATTTTGACCCCTGCTCTTATCAACTGGCCTGAATGCTGCATTTGAACCATCGATTCCCACCACAAAGAAGTTAGGATTCTCCATTGTTACCACCACTAGTCTAAGATTATGCTCAAAAGCTCAAAAGCTCAACAAAAATCTTTCTTCCTAAGAAAAATGGAAAATAAAGTTTAGTGGCAAAAAAAAAGTGGGAACTGATTTACTATATAATACTGCATTTTATTGTAATTGAATATTCATTAGAGAAATTAGGAGCTAAACATGGCCATCAATCACTATTAACATGATGACTCCTTGTTACCTCTGCTTCTTTTGCTCATCACGCACCTAATATTCATCCCACCATGTTATAAACTGGATCACGCTTGTATGATGAATACGTAAAGCCGTGGGATGGTGCTCCCTAAGGAATAGCAACTACATCACCCTGCGCAAACCCTACTTCCGCAGAAAACATAACCTAATTGAAACATTAATCTTAAAGCGTAACGACAAATTAGTGAGAATTAATAAAAAAAACAGAACAACACTCTAAGGAGATATATCATAGCAGCTCAACCAGAAAATAAGTTGAAATAGAAATGTAAGCAAAATTAAAAGTAGGTGATTGTTTCTCCACACATACTAACATGCGTAATAGTTTTGTACCGATGACTTGCTTACCGTGAACTGTTCTATGCACCCGCGTTGTGAAGCTAAGAATTGGAACCTCATTGATGCTGCATGGCCATGCTCATTGTATAACATGTAACATGTCTAGAATGTGAACATATGTGGACAAAAACCTAAAATTTATACGTAACTCTTGAGTAAAACATGCATTCTTACATAATACAATACAATAAAATCACAAAAACAAAAAAAAAACGAAGCAGAAGGAAACTTTATGTATATTAAAAGGATTGTGCTTGATATTCTCTAATTAGAAAAATGGTATGGGCAATTCAGAACCTGATGTAGCAAAAGCAACATTTTTTTTTTCCAAATCCTGAAGTATATTTTAAAAGTTCGGTCCAACTTCGTAAATCTGCAATTGGAAAAATTATAAACCCAAATTACAGCTTCTTCTCTCATTCAAAAGAAAAACGAAAACTTGATATGAAAATTGAAGCTTTACATGCAAAACAGAAACTCCAAACTTTTTGTTCAACTGAAAAGGTTTCAAAATGTGGATCGGAGGTAAGCTCATTTTGCTATAAATCTGAAAGTAAAATATACATTTGGTTAGTTAAAAATGAGTGCACGTATGTATCAAACTTAAAGTAAAGAATATAAAAATGTTTAGGAGACAAGTATGAATAAAGGTTGACGGAAATATACACCTTCTTCTGCTGAATTGTTAATTGAGAGAACAATAAGCATAAATATAGGAAAATATTTATAAGATCGTCGAAAAGTGTATAGAAATGGGTACCTATGCATGTATAGCACATTTTCTTCAACCATTTCAATCAAAACAGAAAGGCACATGCATTTTTAACACCCCAACCACCATGATCAGTTATATCTCAAATATTCATAGTGCTTCTTTCTTTCAATTTCATTTAATTTGCTCTAAGGGAACTTCTTTATCTTTTGTAGTTGTAAATCTAAAATTTCCACACCTTGCTCGCTTCATTTGTGTGTGTGTTTATATTCATTTCATCGAACAATCATCTGAATAGTGATTTTTTCATGTCTACATTAATTTTCTGGACTTGCATACTCCTACAATAGGCTTATCATGTCTAAAGAGTTGTGTGAGATCCATTTATGTTAATTTTCAGGCAACCATTTTCGTAAGAACACCGTGTTATTTCCCCACTTTGCTGGAGTCTTGAAGAGCCAAACCTACTTTAACCCTACATTTATAATTTGTAATGTTCTATAACTTAAAAATGCACATTCATATCTAAATTCACACGATGACCAATCACTAAAATAGTAGAAAGATAGAGCAGAAAGACCAATCAACATGGAAGCAAGCGTCATTGAGTCCTTGTTAATAAGAAGACATACATATACCTCTGTTTCTTTTGCTCATCAGGCATCCAATATTTATTCCACCATATTATAAACTGGATAATACTTGGAAATAATTTAAGTCCTGACATGTTGCTCCCCCAAGCAATACCAAGTCCATCAGTCTGCACAGATCCTCATCCTGCAAAAAACACAACTCAATTGAACCATTACGTATGATACATTAATTAGGATTTAAAGCAAAGAAGTAAGGACTATTCCCTACATGTGCACTCAAAAGTGATTTTTTGGTAATCACTTGCAACAGTACACAAACACCATCAAACTCCAAATAATTACAGAATAATAGAGCTAAAACTTATTTGAAAGAACTACCCGACAATAAAAAGCATAAGAAAAATTGAAACCATGATATTTGCGTAGAACAAACCTAATGGAAAACACAATCACACAAACAGCACAAAATTCAGTAATTTTCTAACCAATAACCCACAATATAATCAAATAACGCAAATAGCTTAATCCCCAACTTTTGTTAGGTAATATATTCCACATGAATTATCGTTTGTTCCTTATTGAGATAACTCTGTCATCTAAAAAATCACATTCTTTATCAAATTCAACAACTGGGTAATTAACTTAGATTGAGATAACTTATCATGTTTGAGAAAATGAAAAAAAATCGTAGTAAAAATTCATACTTTCTATATGGGTTCCTTTCAATTTAAATAAAAGTTAGAACTCTTATTAGCGTAACTTCCAATGTATTTCCCGATTTACGAAATTCATAAACTTTTTCAATTTTTCATCTAGGTGACATGCAATTTAAATAAAAATTAGAACTCTCCATCTCGGGTCCTTTCGATTCTACCCAACAATATTGAAATGCAAAATTAGGCATACCTATTAGCTGCTGAACCGCTTAGATTATGGTAGCCAGAGTCGTCGGAAGGCCAAAGCTTTTCTGGGTTCAGAGGAGAGGACACCTTTGAGACCAAGGAGATTCATATGAGATTTTAAGTGTAAATCTAAAATAAGTTGAGAGATTGGGAGATGAGGCGAGGAGGGAGACGGGGAGAGCAGGAGTCAGGTAGAGAAAAGGTGGGTCGAGAGTCTGAAAACGGTGGGGGAAACATCTAGCCAAAAGGTGGGTCGAGATACTACCATCTCCAACCGAAGGGTCCAGAGGGCCGAAAATACCCCGAAAATTGTCTTCAACCAAGGGTTAGGCCAGAGGGCTGGCCACTTTCAGCCAGCCAGCCTCGGGCTAGCCAGATTTTTTTTAAATGTGTCGGATTTTCTGTCGGTTATAACTAACAGTAATACATTTATACTAAATAATACGAGTGTATTCCTATCGGTTATAACTAACAGGAATGCTTTGAATTTTTTTTATTATTATTTTTTATTTACAAAATTTTTCCTATAACTTATATTTTTCATATTTTTTTTAAATTCTATTTTTTTTCCTATAACTTTTATTTTACAAAATTTGTTTCATATTTTTTTTAAATTCCATTTTTTCCTATACCTTCTATTTCACAAAATTTGTTTCATTTTATTTTAAATTCTATTTTTTTCCTATAACTTATATTTCACAAAATTTGTTACGTATTTTTTTTAATTCTATTTTTTTCCTATAACTTCATAAGCCATTATACAACATTAAATTAAATTAAGTAACATGAAACAACATTAAACAATATGAAACAACATTAAATAGCATTAACCAACATAAAAATTATACAACATAAAAAAAACATTTAACAACATGAAAGTTAAACAACATTTAAGTTGTAGTTTTTAAATAATAAATTATGTTTGGCCCTCGGTTGGAGACGGTTTTTTGTGACAGGGCTAAAACGAGCCCTCTAGCCCTTTGGCTCTCTGTTGGAGACAGAGGCAAATATGGCTATTTACTGTTCATTAAAATATTAATATTTTGGAGGGCCAGAGGACTAAAACGAGCCTTTTGGCCAGCCATCGGTTGGAGATGGCCTTAGGCCAAAGGGCTCGTGGGCCCAAATGGACAAAAAAGGGCCCAAAGGCCAACCAGCTGGCCCAAATGAGCCAGCTAGCCCCGGGCTGGGCCAAAATTTTGAGTATTCATGTCGGATATAACCGACAACATTGTGCATTACTTTTGTCGGTTATATTCGACAGGAATGGTAGGTTAAATTTTTAAATACAACAACTAGTTGACGTCAGCTAGCCATTATTTTTGAATTTTTTTTTTTACAAATTTTTTTTCCTATAACTTCTATTTTACAAAATTTGTTTCATATTTTTTTTAAATTCTATTTTTTTTCCTATAACTTCCTAAGTCATTATACAACATTAAATTAAATTAAGTAACATGAAACAACATTAAATAACATTAACCAACATAAAAAAAAACATTTAACAACATGAAACTTAAATAACATTTTTAAAAATATTTAACAACATAAAACTTAAACGCCTACCCTATGCTTCTTTTGGCCCAAAGATGTACAACAAGATCCTGTTGTAGGTACTTGTTTGTGGCACAGGAACGTATCATCTTATAGCGCCTCATGTACTCATTTATAGAGATACTACTAGTTCTTGGATTGAAAGGCAAATTAGGCCCATCATATATTTTAGCACGAGCCCTTCTTGACCTATTTGGATCCTTTTGGTCGTCATCGAACTCTCCATCAATATACTTATCTCGCTCATCCTCCACAATCATGTTGTGTGTAATATGATGCAAGACATCATAATGGAGTCCAAATTTTCTCGACTCCACCCTCTTGTCGATTCCTTGATGATCTTTCACCGTACTTGTAGAACACCAAAAGCTCTCTCAACATCTTTCCGATATGCCTCTTGGTGTAAGGTAAAACACTTTTCGGCCTCATTTTTAGGGTTTGGAATTTCTTGGACAAGTGTCACCCACTTTGTGTACACCGAGTTAAGGTTGAAGTAGTTGTTATCAGATTGGCATGCGTCATCACTCTGTTTCATGGTTTGCAAGAGCGACCAGCAACAGAGCCACCCTATTGAGCTTGTTCCTCAGTTGGCTGACACACCATGGCCACAGCCATAGTTGCCACATATTGTGTGTTGTGCCATGCTTCATCTTCTTCATCAGACTCCTCATCATCTCATCTCATTTGTGCCCATTTTTCTTCTAATTCGGAATTGGATGAAGACCCCAGTTGGAATTCATTGAAAGAAATTGAATTGAAATAGATTGAATTCAAAGGTGTGTGAATTATAGCCCACTATCCATCCTATTTATAGCAAAAAAAAAAAATTCAAATCCAACGGCTAGCTGATGTTAACTAGCCGTTGGATTTGAATTTGAATTTTTTTTCGGCCAAAATTTGTAAAAAAATATTTAAAAAATCTCTTTTTTTCCCTATAAATTTAAGTTGTTGTAGTTTTTAAATTTAAGTTGTAATTTTTAAACATAAGTTGTAGTTTTTTAAATTTAAGTTGTTGTAGTTTTTAAATTTAAATAATAAATTATGTTTGTAAAGGGAAATTGCCGAATATGTGAGTAGATGTGCCATTTGCTAACAGGTTAAAGCTGAAAGGAAGTAGCCGTTTAGGTTGATGCAGCCGCTTTCCATTCCACAGTGGAAGTGGGAAAACATTACCATGGATTTTGTGTACAAGCTTCCTCGTACACATAATGGTTATGACGGCATTTGGGTGATAGTTGATCGGCTTAATAAGTCAGCACATTTTATTCCAGTGAGGGAAAAAAATTCATTAAGCCGATTAGCTAAGTTATTCATATCGAAGATTGTGAAGTACCATGGCGTTCCAGTTAATATTATCTCAGATCGGGACCCTAGATTTACTTCCAAGTTCTGGGTAGCATTTCAGGAAGCTCTTGGTACGAGATTACTTTATAGTACAGCATATCACCTTCAGACAAACGGACAATCTGATAAGACTATTCAGACATTGGAGGATATGCTAAGATCTTCAGTACTTCAGTTTGGCGATGGTTGGCATGATTGTTTGCCTACAACAATCTGATGGAGTTCGCCTACAACAACAGTTACCATTCGAGCATTGGTATGGCACCATTTGAGGCGCTTTACGGGAAATCTTGTTATACACCATTATGTTGGTCAGAGGTTGGCGAAAGAGTTTTAGTGAGCCCTGAGTTTGTTGACGAGACTACTCAAAATGTTCAAGTAATTAAGTCTAATCTGAAAGCGGCCCATGATCGACAAAATAGCTTAGCAGACAAGCATGCCATTGACCGGATGTATAATGTAGGTGATTGGGTATTTTTGAAGCTATGACCTTGGAAAAGTGTTGTACGATTTGGAAAGAATGGCAAGTTGAGTCCTAGGTACATTGGACCATATATGATCACCAAGCGAGTCGATGATGTTGCTTACAGGCTTGAGTTGCCTCCAGAGTTGTCCAAAGTGCATGACGTATTTCATGTTTCGATGCTTCGACATTATGTCTCAGATCCTTCACAATGATTCCTCCTCAAACTTTGGAAATTAATTTGGATTTGACTTACGACAAGGAACCAGTGACTATTTTGGATTGGAAAGATAAAGAGCTAAGGAATAAGATAGTGCGTTTGGTGAAAGTATTATGGAGAAATCATTCAGTGGAAAAAGCTACTTGAGAGACAGATGATGGGATGAGAGAGATGTATCCACGCTTGTTTTATGATTATTAGTGGATGTATTGGTTGTATGTAATTTCGAGGATGAAATTTTATAAGGAGGGTAGATTGTCACAGCCCGTCCCGAAATATTATAATTCTAGGCGTGAAATTACTTATTTACCCTTGGATGTTTTGTGTGGTTTTGTGGGTGAGGTTTTATTTGGACAAATTCTAAATTTTCCTAAGTTTTTGGAACACTTAGGAATTATTGTGTTTATTTGGTTTTGGTTGAGGACCATGTGTGCCACACACACATACACATTTTCACTCCATTTCTCTCTCCTTCTCGTGCATTCTCTCTCATCCCTCTCGATTTTCTCCTGTTTCCGTCAACCTTGTATGGACGAATGTTAAGTTCACCATTCACGCACAGATCAACGTTAAAAAGGTAAGGTTCTTGTTCCCTATAAGCTCCTGAGTCAATTCGTACCATTTTTAGGACCTAAAAACCTCAAAAACCCTAAGAACTCTAACCTCCGATTTGGTGCACTGTTCATGCACACGTAAATGTGAAGGTTTCAGTGGATTTTAAGCTCACAGGGAGCTTTAAAAGGCCATCACGAAGCTCAAAGAAGAAAAACCAAGCGATTTGGACATCGGGATCGTCATTTTCAAGTTTGGCCAGTTTTCCTCGAATTTCTCTGGCTAGATTCCGTGATCATTGGGGCTTTAAATAGGTAAGGAAATGTTCTACAAGTTAA